GGCCTTATTTGCAGCATGAATTCGAAAAATAAGTTTATTTTGAATTTTAATAAACTAAACGTTCACCAAAAAACTTTAGTGAGAAAAATCGAAAAAACGAGCTACAAACATATTAACGCCAAACATTCGGTAGAATTTATAGAATATTGTAAAAATTATGGTCTATTACCAACATATATATATATATATATATATATATATATATATATATATATATATATATATATATATATTAATAAAGAGAGAGAAAGAGAGAGAGGAAGAAAAAAGGAGAGAGAGAATGTTATTTTTATGGTACATGCTGATACTGATCAATGGACGATTAATTTGATTCACATAACATTTTATTTATACATACATACATATATGTATATATATATTATTTATGTATGTATTTATGTGTGTATGTATGTATGTATGAATGTATGTATGTATGTATGTATGTATGTATGAATGTGTGTATGTATGAATGTATGTATGTGTGTATGTATGTATATAATAAAGAAACGGTTTTTTTTCATTTTGAGTAGATATCGATACTGTTAAATGGTAGAAATATCAGTGGAAAAAATACTATTTGTATTTTTATGTAATCATACTACACAGGAGACCAGTATTTTATTAGTTACCATATGATAGTATTTATAGTAATGGTTAATGTATAAGTTTTCGTTAGTAATTGGAGTAAAATTTTATTGTAAATAGTTGTAGTATTCATAAGTAGTGTATTAATTAGTAATAATAATAATAATATTATTATTATTATTAACACTTAGCAATTTTGTTAATAATAATAAGTTAGCAATCAGCAATTAGTAATAAAATTTGTAATTCATAGGCTTGGCAGTATTAGGCGTACATTGATATACATATAAAAACAAATGTTTGTATGTGTGTAGTGTATGCATGTATGTTTGTGTATGTATGTATTTTTGTATGCGTGTATGTATATGTGAGTGTTTATCGTATTAAGGAAAACATTCTGTTTGTTTTTCGTCACATTTAATGTTGTTGGTTTGTAATCTGGATAATCTCATACGCCCTAATTTTATAGTCTTAATTATGTGGAATTTATAATTATCGGACCGTTGTTTTGTTTTAGTTATCTATCGGAAAGCGAATTCTTTTTTAAAAGTTTTAAATTTAGTTAGTTTAAACGAACGCCTCGCGTCATGCTACGGAAATTGGATTCAAGTTTTGTTTGAAGTTGACACTTTTTGACACTTTTGTGTCGTAACGGGGACTATAACATTAACATCTCCAACATCATCAGCAACAACAACATCATCAGCAACAACATCAACAACAATAACAACATCAACAATAACAACATCAACAATAACAACATCCCCAACGAAAAAAAACATTAAAATATCGTCGGCAGATGTCCATTAAGAAATTTCAATATTAAAATCTTCAATTGAGAAAATTTCTACCCACAACAAATGCTCTGATTGCAACAACATCACAAGTTAATGTCTTGACGGTTTCAAAAGTAGCCGACGGCAAAACGGAATACATTAACAACAACAGCATCATTACAAACAACAACATCATTACATCAACATCACCAACGACATCATTACATCAACATCACCAACGACATCATTACATCAACATCCCTTACAACAACGACAATGACCTCCCCACAACCAGCATTCACCCAGAACAACAACCACAGCTCTCTACCCGACTTTTCACAACGTCGCTACGAAAGCCTCTGTTACGTCTGCCTCAACCCACAAGTAGACGAACGCACCCTCGAGTGTTATCACGTGTTCTGCGTCACGTGTTTAGATAATTTTTCGCGCTTTATAGTCACTCTGTCCGTAGAAGATTTATTCAAAATGGTCGCTAGACAAAACCCGAGTCCGAAAAGTAGCGACAGTGATCAACATTCAACATCTACTAGGCCGAACACCGACCGAACCTCAAATAAAATCGAATCTTCGAGTCAATTTGACGGTTATTTAGCTGACGTGACTACTACTGCTGCAGCAACAGCAGGTAGTGGTATTTGTAATAATGGTAACAGTACAAATGATATCACTGATAGCCATATAAAATGTTCCTGTAGCACAACATCTAGTAATAGTGCAATAAGTTGTACTGCTGTCGCTGTTAAAAGCATTAGTCCAAAAAATACTGGCATCAGTAGCTCAGCGTTGGGGAAAGCTAGAATACATTCAACGTCGTCAACAACATCGTCCACATCGTCAACATCAACATCGTCATCACCGATGATTGTTTTTGTTAAATGTCCGACCTGTCTGCATGAGCAACACATAGAATCGTTAGAAGTTTTGAAGCATAATTCAAAAACTAGAAATTTTTTCTTGAGAAAAATGTCTGGGGTTTCCGATGAATCCGAAATCAGGTGCGACTGCTGCAACGCTGTAAATGGTATTCATGGGGTTGGAAGTGGCTTTCGAAACGCCGTAGATGATGATGAAGACAATGTTGACAACTTCGCCGAGTACTACTGCAACAAATGCTGCGTCAACATGTGCAGACGTTGCAGACAACAACACGACCAAGTTCTTTTGTTCAAAGAACATCAGGTCATCCATGTGACTGGAAAAGGAAGTTCAGGTTATGTTATCTGCCAGAAACACCATAAAATTCAGTGCACTTATTTTTGCCTTTTTTGTAAAATTCCACTTTGCGCAATTTGCGTAATGCGCCATAACGTCAATAACGACATCCAAGAAAGTAGAAGCAGCTTTCCAGAGAGTTCACAACAACAGCAACGACAGAACAGCAAAAGCGCATTTAAAAAGTCATTTTCTGTTGCCCGATCATCTTCAAAAGATTTTCAAAATCATCCCAGCAGCCCCAGTTGCAGTTCACCTGACAGCAGCAACAACAACATCGCCCAACAACAATTTCAACAACAGCACGAAATTGTTAAAATTCGAGAGGCTTTTAGTCGAGTTCGAGATGATTTGAAAATAGTGCTGAATATGTTAAGCAAGAGGCTAGACGCCTTGAAGGTCAAGTGTAAGCTATTTACGGCTGATCCTAGTTATAGAACGTATATTAACAACAACAATAATAATAGCAATAACGGTCATCGCAACAACAATAGTAACAATAATAATAATAGTAATAACAAAAGCAAACATAATTTTGGAACACCAAAAAATATTTTTAATAGAGAAACAAATAGAGCCTCGCCATGTTCAGCAGCGGAACCGATAAAAATAAAAGACGATTTAACAATACATCACTACTATCAAGATCTCAATTATTCATCTTCTGCTTTCCCTCCTTCTTCCTCCTCATCCAACTCAACCATCGAAAACATCCAAGAAACTCCTCCTGAAGTCATTAAAAAAGTCAGGCATAAGTCTGCTGGCATAGAAGCAGTCTTAACTCCAATAGGTTTCTCATCCACAAAAGCTCCGGATTCAGTTGAAAAAATAGGAAGATTCAAGCTGAGTACGATCAAAAAATTTTCCTCAAAAAAAGATTTGGCAAAATTTCAGTTTGGTCACTCAAAAACTCAAAGTTCGTTAAACAGTGAAAGTGTAATAAACACCAACTTGGTGAACATTCTTTCGGAAGGAAACAACGATAGCAAGAACACTGGTTCGAGTGAGAGCAACGACCAAACATGGTCATCAACTTCTAGTATTCAAGTTCAGTCAACGTTTCAAAATTTTCGCAAAAAATTAGGAAATCATTTTTCCATGAAAGATGGAAAGAAAAGTAAAGAACCCGAAAATAAAATCATCTCCGTTCAGACAAGTGACGATTTTCATAGAAAAACGTCTGCAATAAGCACCCTAAGTGGCAATTTAGCTACACCCGCCATTGAATACGTTAAACCAGAAATACGTAGTTTTTTAATTTCGTCTGAAAACGTTATAGCAAATTATGAAAAATTATTTAATTTATCATCAAAAGCTTTAGACTCGATTAACAATAAAACTCCTTATATAATTTACGAAAACCTGGCTTCCAGAGTTCGAGTAATTTTAGACAAAGAACTTTTAGTTTTAGAAAACGAAATGGAACGTCAAATATTACAACACCACGAACGAATTAGGTCGTCGAACAGTCAGTCGATGGAATGTTTGCGCAAAGGTTTCAACTCCAGTGCCAGCATCAAGAGCATGTCAATCAACGTTTCAGTAGGCCAATTTGAAGGAATGGACGAAAATTTAGCCCGAGTAACTCGATACCAACAGCTCAATGAGTCAGTTAACGAAATGACGATTCTATCAGCCAAACCGATTCTAATGTGGAAGTACGAAAAAAATAAGAACGATATCGACTCGTCCTCTATTCCTTGCGATGCAGCATTTTTAGAGAAAGATCGAATGGTGGTCATCTGCGAATATGACAACGCAAACAGAAAAAATAACCGCCTGCAAATATTCAACGTGGATGAGGGCAAGCCAATAAACTCCCTCTTACAGGGCCAGATTCAACCCTTAGGAGTTGCAGTGACACGCGACCAACAGAGCGTTGTTGTGACGGATTGTAAAGAAAAAAGGGTGAAAATAGTTTCCCTAGCCACGGGGTCTGTCGTGGCCGAAATTGGAAAGGGTCAGTTTGGCTGGCCGTACGGGGTGGCCGTTAACAGTAAAGGTCATATTATTGTTAGTGATGCCTTCAACGACTCTGTTGCTGTTTTTAGCGCAGAAGGTGAAATTATTTAACTTTTTTAAATTATTCAATTCTTTTATTTATTCAATATTTTAATAATGTTTCTTGCATAAACAAAAAACGGATTTCAAAATAATTTTGTAAAGGCAAAAAAATTCGAACGTTTGGCTCAACTGGAAGCCACCCAGAACAGTTTAGAAACCCTTACCATGTCGCCGTAGACTCAAGGGATAAAATTTACGTCAGTGACTGTGGGAACAACTGTGTTAAGGTTGGTTGAAAATGTTTGTCCTTCTTTCTGCCATCAACATTATTTTGTTGTTTGCCTACTAGCTGGCCTTCATTAACTCGAACGACACCATTCTAACCAACTGTCCAGGTTTTCAACGTAAACGGCAAATTCGACTTTTTTGCCAGCGACGCTTCTAGACGTTTCTCGGCCACCGTTGACTTGGCGACCGATCGGAAGTCAAAAAACAGAAAACTGAAAGGACCTAGAGGTGGGTAAGAATGGGGTGCTTGATGGTGAGGTGATGATGGCTATGAAAATGGTTGACAATTTAGTTTGAAAGGAATACGAAAGTGGCTTAATAATTGCGATGGTTATTTTGTAGATGACGGTAGATTTGTTTAACTAGCTTATCTATAAAACCTCTAATCCATCTATCTATTATACATGCATTCAACCAACCACTTATTCATCCAAGCTATTCATTCGTTCGTCGTCAACCCATACCCATACACTTTGTCATTAATTTTTCATCCATTCATTCACTCATTCGCTCATTCATTCATTCATTCGTCCACTTATACATTCACTCATTCTTCATTCATCCAGGCATATGTGTAGACAACTACAGCAACATATACGTTGCTGACGATTACAGTAGAGTTTGTATGTTCGGACCGACTGGTAATTTTATAAGGTATTGCAATGCATTCATTCATCCTTTGATTCATTCATTCATTTATTTATTCATTCTTCCATTCATTAGCTCATTCATTCTTTAATTCATTTATTCATTCATTCATTCACTTTTCATTCATTCAATCAATCATATTCGTTGAGTTGTTTATTGTACCGCATTACGTTGTGCGATGTCTTATGCTGTAATTAATGTGTGGAGAGGTACTTATGTGTGTATGTCTTCGTGTATGTGTAAATATATAAATGTATATATTTTTTATGTATATGTGTATGTGTGTGTTTGTTTGTGTGTGCCCGTGTGTGTGTGCGCGCGCGCGCGTGTGTGTGCCTCGAAGTTTATAAAACAAATAACCATCACAGCATTATATGTTATATATATATACTATTTTTTTGTTTATTGATATTTATATAAATACATTTTCGCATTTGCCACTTCCTCTAATGGTCCTTTAATTCATTCCGTCATTCATTTTTTTCTTTCTGTCTTTCACACGTTCGTTCACTCATTCGTTCATCAATTTAATTATAACTTCATTTGTACATCCATGTTTCTACTAATCATTAATCTTCTCGTTTATTGTTCCATTTATTCATTCACTCATTCGTTCATTCGTTTTTGTCTTGCACTCATTTCTTCATTCATTCATTCAGTTACTCACTCAACTCATTTCATCAATCTATCTACCAATCAATCAATAATTTATTCATTCAATAATTCATTCGCTTTAGTGACTCACTCATTCATTCATTCATTCATTCATTCATTCACTTGTGCTTATATTATTATTATTATTATTTAATTTTATTATTATTGTTATTAATTACCTTACTATTATTGCAATTGAAACTGCTTTTAGCCTGTTTATTCAAATGCACCATCACAATACGAGCTATTGTATGAAATCTGTGTATTTACTACGCAAAATCTCATTGGCTGCGTTGTTTATGGATGGAGGGATTTGATTGGTCGACACTTTACCATAATTTTTGTTATTATTTTGCATAATAATAATAATAATAATATTTCAAATTGTTCTTTTTATTATTACTTCTGATATTATAATACTAATTACTATTAAAGCAGTTATTATTATTGTTGTTGTTTGGACTGGTGCGAATAACTTCGTTGTGCTATTGATATTGTTGTTAATTGTTTGCTTTGAAGTTACTGATGATGTTGTTGGTGACAATTATTCTTTTATTACGTAAAATTTGTAAATTTTTTGTTGATGTTGTTTGTTTTTGATGATGACGATGAAGACAATGATGATGATGACGATTATGATGATGACGATGGTGATGGTGGTGGCAATGATGTTGGTGACGACGATGAGGATGACGATGATAATGGTGGTGACGATGACGATGATGTAGTTGTTGTTGCTGATGACGATGATGATTATGATGACAATAAGATGATAATGACGAAGATGATGATGATTGTTGATGACGATGATAATGTTGTTTGTTGGTGTTATTGTTGTTCTGGACGATGGTGATGATGAAAACGATGATTAAGAACATATGGTCTATTGTTGGTGATGGTGGTGGTGATGTGATTAGCATTGTTGTTAATACTGTTGTTGTTGCTGCTGTTGATTTTGTTGTTTTTGTTGTTGTTTTTGTCGTCGTCGTTGTTGTTGTTATAAAACCAGGCTTTAATCCATAAATCAATCAATTATTAACTATGGTACGTGTTACGGGGTAGTTTTAAGCATTCATTCATTCATTCATTCATTCATTCGTTCGTTCGTTCATTCATTCATTCATTCATTCATTCATTCATTCATTCATTCATTCATTTATTCATTCATTCATTCATTTATTTATTTATTCATTCATACTCTCGTTTCTTGAATGATTGATCACTCATCTTCGTTTACAATTTTTTTTTTCATTAATTCATTCCTTTATTCGTTCATTCATCCATACATTCCTTCATTCACTCATTCATTCATTCCTTCAATCAATCGCTCATTCATTTATACACATTCGTTCCATCGATAATTAATACTTTTACATAATAATTAGTTTACTTAATTATAAATTCATTCGTTCTTTCCTTAGTCTGCAGTTAACATTCACCACACACACATACACACACACACACATACATACACACACACACACATGCATACACACACACATGCATACACACACACGTACGCGCACACACAAATAAAAACATACATATCTACACATACATACATGCATAAACACACACACACATATACATTCATAATTACACACTTAAAAACATACATGTATGCATAAACACATACATACACACACATGCACATGCTTACATACACACACACACACACATGCATACATACATACACACATACATACACACATATTATCTAAACTCAAAAAACAAAAGAATAAGAAGAAAAGAAAGAAAGAGGTGGTGAGAGGAAAAAAGACGGAGAAAGAGAGAGAGAGAGAGAGAGAGTGGGAGAGAGAAAGAGGGAAGGAGAGAGAAAGAGAGAAACTGATTGAAATTGAGAGAAAGAAGGCGAGATAAAGAGATGGACCAGTTTAAAAAAAACTTGTCACGATAGGCGATCTTTCTTCACTAAGATCCTGAATATTTTACATCGTTAATGTTTCCAAATTCAATTTCCCAGGTCACAACCAACTCAGCCAACTAAACGACCATGCAGCCAACAAAACATCCATGCAACCAACATAGCAACATACTAACCAATCAACCAATCAGCCAACTAATTATAAAACCAATCAATTAACTAAAATAATAAACCTACCGTCCAACCGTCCAACCAACCAACCAGCCAACCAACCAACCAATCATTCAATTAACCAACCAGCTACTGAAATCTCTTCTTAATTCAAATTCTCTAACCAAAATCATCGTTCACACGTCAGTTTTGGAAGTCCCAACCAACCAGCCAACTAAACGACCAGCCAAACTACAAGCAACCAATTAACCAACCAATTATTGAATCAATCAACTAATTATTCAGCCAACCAACCAATCAATCAACCAACCAACCAATCATTGAATCAATCAACCAATCAATTAATCAACCAATCAACCAGCCAAATTTAAATTCTCTAACCAAAATCCCAACACGCATGTCAGGTACCTCCTAACAGAGGAAGAGGATAACGTGAAGTCTCCGGAAGGAATTTGTTATTCGCCAGGTGGCATGCTCGTCGTCACGGAGTGGAATCCGACGAATTTATTCTGCGTCAAAATGTTCTCTCTGCATCATAACCATTCCAATATAATAAGATAATTATTTTTCATAATAATTATTATAACCAATAAATACCCATATATATATATATATAATTATATTACTTTTACTGCATATTTATTTGTACATGTATATAATACTTTACGTTTGATTTTATTCCAATTGTTTTATTCTGTCTAAATCATACTGCCGATCTTATAGATATTATGTACATATTCCTGAAAGATATTTCAATTAATTAACTAATTAATTGATTGATGAGTAAAGTTTGTAACGTTTTAATACTTTACTAACCAAATCTTTCAATAAACTCTGAAGCAAATATTTCGTTTTATTGAATAAAAAGATAAGTTAAGGTTAAAAAATCATTTACACGCACATAAATAAATATAATACCAGAGAGAATATTCATTCTATTTATAATTATTTACATTTATTTAGTAAATTCGTAATAACCAGTGACAGATCCAGAAAAAGAAAAATTATTAAAGATTAGGTATAAAATACAGGGAAATCGAAATTTAGTAAAAAAAAAGGTTAATAGCTTAAATATTTGATAAATTTAATTTTATAATTTATTATTTTTAATATTGGAATAAACGAGAATTACAGGAATTATCGTAAAAAATTCATCAGCTTTAAAATTTTAACACCAACCCCACCACAAAATTCTGTTTTAGCCACTAATTTATGAACGCTAAAAATATGATTGTATATTTATTACATCAGTTTAGTTTAGTTTTATTATTGGAACATTTTATATTATTAAGATACGTTTTTAAATTATAAAGATTATCATTTTAACGGCAATTCCAACCAATCACCATTTGCTCCAGTCAACACCAACTGAAATCAGCGTGTAGAATTTTGATCTTTAACAAATTATTATTCACTCGCTAGTGTAATTTTTTTTGCTTTTTTTTTATTTATTTAAAATTTCAATATTAATTATATTTAATTAATGCTATAAAAATTAAATAGATTTTTAATTTTTCACTGCAAAAATCAATTTTATTAAAAAAAACACCTAAAACCAGAATCGATTAGCAGTACTTCAATAATCCACACACTGCGAGTGATTACGACGCTAAGAGAGCGCTTCAAACGTAAACTTGTTTAAACGTGACATTTTTGGTGGGAGTTGGCTTTAAGTCAAGTTCCTGTTGTTTATAATTAAATTAATTAATTAATTTAATAATATTTGAATATTTCAAACATTTAAATCATTTTAAAAGTATTTAAATGGCTACCCAAGCAACTCAAAAACTTGATTAGACAGCATTATTTATTTTTACAGTGTATATAATTATTAAACTAAAATTCATTTGGGATTCTAATTTGTACACTAAGAATTTAAACTAATTTGACACAAAAGTTGCTTCATCAATCATTTCTTTTTGTTTAAGTAAACTTCTTCAACTTTCTTTAAAATCTATTTAATTTTAATTAATTGTCACTCTACTTTTCAGTTCTTTATTGGCTTATTATTGCTGATATTAGAGTAATTTTTATTATTAAGATAAGTTTTTTTAAATAAAGAATATAATTTTTAAGACAATTCCTACAAATCACTGTTTGCTTTAGCCCGCACTAACAGTAATCACCGAGTAGAATTTTGACTTTTAACAAATTGCTATTTACTCGCTAGTGTATTTTATTTGATTAACTTATTTTAATTTTTAATTTTATTTAAATTATACAATACAAATTTTTAAATTTTGATTTTTTTCTTATTAGAAAATCAAATTAATTTTTTTTTTAATTCAAAAAACACCTGAAACTAAAACCGATCAGCCATACTTTAATGGTCGACGCTTGAGATACGTTACTGAACGTCTCGTAAAGAGCGCTATATAAATGCTACTTTTTTGGCGGGAGTTGACGTTAGGCCGATCTCCTGTTGTTTACAATTAATTAATTTAACTGATTTAAATGGTAATTAATTTGCTTGATTTATGAAATTTTACATCTAATCATATTTATCAATTTATAAATTAAATAATTTTTTGTGTAATTTAATTTTACTCGGTGCTGTCAATTTCACAGTGATTAATTACTTAAATATTTGAGTAAGTTCTTGATCCAGTATTTATTTAATAGGTATCTCTTTCATTTGAGAATTTTTACACGTTCGATTGAATTTTTATACTTTCACTTTTTTTTCAAAAAATCGCACCCATGAAATTTCAAAAAAAAATAAAACGATGATATTTTTTAACATTTCATAATGATTTTATATTGATAAAGTAGGTATTTCATAATGATGAATAAATAACTAAATATTTACAATTTACAAGATCATTTTTGTTAATCTTGGTAATCACTGACATTCATCTTTATTATTCAAATACATTTATCTCTAAATTCCTCGTCATATTTATCATCGTCTTCATCGCATCGCGATTAGAATCATCATCACTGTTGTTGTCGAAACTATAATCATCTTGATGATCTTCCTGAAGTTCAAGCAGCGGCGTTTGTGTCTCCCTGACGTAATCGTCGTAACCATCGTCGTCGGAGAGTTGATTGCCATGTTGTCCATTGAGTTGGTGGTGTTCGCATAACTCCAGCCAATTCTCCACCTTTTTCATAGTTTTTTGGTACTCATCTTCAAGAAGTTGATGCAAACGAGCCTCATATGACTTTTTTTTCCAGCGTTGACCTCTTTTACGTATACGCTGATTTTCCGGTTGGATTAAGTCTCGCTTCTGTTTCTCGCAGCGAATTTTAACTTCCAAAAGTTGCAAATATGTTTTCTTTACAGCTTCGTCTTCAACTGGCTTCAATTCCTCATTTTTTCCTACGTCATTCTTTGCCATTTTTCAATAAATTTTATTTATAAGAGTTTTTCAAATTTGTTATAAAAATGTAGATGAAACTCCCGATTAGAAACTTGCAATACAAACCCGTGAAGCTCAGGGCTGTTTATATAACCAGTCCAACTGCTTCGCTTCCAAAGTCCAAAGATAAAAAAGTTTTACAACCCACGAATTGTAAAAAGCATTTGTGAATCGAACATTTCATCGAACATACCAAAGACGTGTAAATTTTTTATTAAAGTCACAAAGCCCGCTTTCCATTCCGGTTTATGTGTGAAGGCACAACAGAAGCAATTTCTGATTATTGTTCTTTTATTTATGTCTTCCTTCCTCATACTCTCTCCTTATCCAACTTTTGCTGAAGAGTTTTAGAGTTACGAGTTTTGATCTTCGGAATAGTGTTTCTTGTCTTATTTTTTCACAATCTGCCTAGAGAGTTCTGTTTCAAAGTTAACAAGGTTTTACAACCAATAAATTATAATATCACTTCTTATAAATACAAAAAATTTAAAAATTTACAGCCCATGAACTGAAATTTTATGGCATGATGTGTAATGCTGTTATCATCCTGCTAGTTGCGACAAAGTCGTGTTATTGTAAAAATATATGTGGGTTTGGAAAAAATTTCTTTAGCTATGTGAATTCATAATTTCGTTTTTTTAACAACTTTGACGGCTTCTAAACATTGAATCAGAGTTAAAAGTGGAAAATTAAGGTTAATTAAATAAACTATTCTCATGACATTCATTCAAGAACGTTTACTCGTGCGATTGAATTTCTATACTTTCACTTTTTTTTCAAAAGAATCACACTCATGAAATTTAAAAAAAAATACAACGATAATATTATTTGACATTTCATAATGATTTTATATTTTATAATGATAAATTAAATATTTCATAATGATGAATAAATAACTAAATATTTACAATCGTTCCAAGATCATTTTTGTTAATCACTGTCATTCATCTTTATCATTCAAATACATTTATCTCTAAGTTCCTCGTCATATTCATCATCGTCTTCATCACATCGCCATCATCACTGTTGTTGTCGAAACTATAATCATCTTGATGATCTTCCTGAAGTTCAAGCAGCGGCGTTTGTGTCTCCCTGACGTAATCGTCGTAACCATCGTCGTCGGAGAGTTGATTGCCTTGTTGTCCATTGAGTTGGTGGTGTTCGCATGACTCCAGCCACTTCTCCACTTTTTTCATAGATTTTTGATACTCATCTTCAAGAAGTTGATGCAAACGAGCCTCATATGACTTTTTTTTCGAGCGTCGAGCTTTTTTACGTTTACACCGATTTTCCGGTTGGATGAAGTCTCGCCTCTGTTGCTCGCAGCGGTTTTTAATTTCCAAAAGTTGCAAATATGTTTCCTTTACACCTTCGTCTTCAACAGGCTTCAATTTCTTATTTTTTCTTCCGACATTCTGAGCCATTTTTCCATAAATTTTATTTACAAGAATTTTTCAAATTTGTTATAAAAATGTAGATGAAACTCCTGATTAAACTTGCAACACAAAACCGTGAAGCTCATGTCTGTTTATATAACCAGTCCAACTGCCTCGTTTCTAAAGTCCAAAGATAAAAAAGTTTTACTACCCACTAATTGTAAAAAGCATTTGTGAATCGAACATTTGATCGAACATATCAAAGATGAGTAAATTTTTTATTAAAGTCACAACGGATTTAATTTGCCCGCTTTCCACACCTGAGCCCAAATGTTTTTCTGAAATTAAAATAATTTACATCGTATGAAAGAAAAGTTGATGGGAATTGTTTAATCAACTAATGCAATTCGCTGCCCAGTTTACAAACCTTACCTTGAAAGAAAACGGCAACGGCCCAGATAATGGTTATCTACTCGACTGTCCCAAATTTGGAATCAAGCTGACAACGTAGAATCAACATCATCGGGAAAGAATAACATTTGAATGTAGTTTAATAGTGGAAATCTGTGCAGTAAATGGTCATTAGATGCATTTTTTTATTTATATCTTTGTTCAATCGGGAATGTTCAAAAATTAAAACTTTCGGTAAAAATTGTTCTTGCACACACGTCTCGTGAAAGAGCTTTCTCAAAAGTTGAAAGTGTAATAAACAGATCTCTGAATGACATTAATGGAGGAACGAAGAACTTATCAGGTTTTTGTTAACACGCGTTAACATGTGACCAACCAATTCGGACTAGAGATGAGAGGAAATTGAAATCTGTTCACCACTCCCTCCCAGTTTTTTTTGTCATCCCATTACCATCCGAATTATGATTTAACACAACATTCCTTAAAATTCCCATCCCATATATAACTCGCGAAGTTATTTTTAAATGAAAAACAATAGTCCCAAGAGAGAAAATCTATTTCTTCAAATGACGCTCCAGACATTTATCCATAAACAATCCTTAACACGGTAAACTAAAAAAAAACACTAACAAAATGAATGAACTTATAGTGAATAAAATGAGATATAACAAAGGAAATATGATTAAATAAGTAACATTTATTATGGTTGGTTATAAAAATCTCCTACGAAAATAATTATAATATAGTGCTAGTACTACTACCTTCTATACTGATAGTCACTACATCAATCGCTAATACCATCATAACAAGGACATTATCAATCGATTGATCAATCAAACAATTGATCAACCAATCGATCAAAACCATTTATTGATAGTGTAATTCCCGTTGTTAGTAAAATTACTGACAATATTAAGCAGTAGTAGTCGTAGTAAAATTGTAGTAGTAGCAGTAAATAATAAAAGTATTCAACGAATTCTCCCTACAAACATTATCTGTGAAAAGCGTAAGAAAAATAATCTTTCAACAAATATAAAATAAAATACTGAATAATAATTAAAAAAACGTACCTTACAATAGACGGTAAAAATTATAACTATAATAATATTATCGAGAATTATAATTTAGAATAATAATCGATTTCATCATCGTCATCATCACAATTAATTTTATGTTGCTATGATCATGACAGCAGCTATCAAAACGACGAAATATAAATAATAATAATAATAATGAGGAGACATCTAAACAACTGACCGATCAATCCATCAATCAATGAGATTAAACTGACCAATTAATCAATCAAACGTTCAACAAACTGACCAAAAACTTTCGTCAGTTGAACAAATTAAATTGATCAATCTACCACATTACAATTCTCATCTTAATCAATCAATAAATCAATTAATCAATCAATCAATTAATCATTTAATCAATTAATCAATCAATTAACTTCCACGTCGGCAAAAGTGTTTTAATGATTTAATGATCAATCAATCAATTCATTATCAATCAGCTGATCAAAATCAATCATAGTGGATCAACCAACCAATCAAAAATTCCTTCGTCAATCAATCAATCATTTAACTAAAATCAATTATTATGAACCGACCAACTTATGAAAAAAACTTGTCACCAAATCGACCAATCAAAATCAAGAATCTCCAAATCAATTAATCAAAAAATCCCTAGTCATTTCATAACCAATCAAATTCATTCATCTAATTATTCATTCAATTATTGGCTGCAGCCTCCAACTTCTTCTTAAGAGATTCAGGCATCTCAGGAGGTGGTGGGCGTGGCAACTTGAAGTAGACCTTCATGAATTAGGTATGAAGACTTTAATAGTTATTAATTTATCTGTGTTAAATAAAAGTCAATGATTAATCAATTGATAATTTGGCTTGCGTCAAATTAGTTAATTAATTATCCACTAATTATCCACTTACGAATATTGATTTTGTCTATCATACATGAATATTAACTAGGGGGAGGAGTTAATTATTAATTTATGATCACCCATCCAACCAGCCAATCAATCAATCAATCAACCAACCAACCAGCTCACCTTAACTGAATCGTAGATAAACCATTGGGCTGCAGTTAATGTACCGATCATGATGATACGAGGGAACAGACCATTCCACATTGCTGTGTGTATGAGTGTGTGAATGTATGCGTGTGTGTGTGTGTGCGTGCGTGTGAGTAAGCATCTGTAGATGTGTATTTATGTGGATAACATATGTTTACAAATGCATTTTATGTTTCAGTATATATGTCTGCTCATGAATGTATATGTTTGTGTGTGTACGTGTGTGAATATAGGTATGTGTGTATGCACATATGCAAGGATACACATACACAAATTGATACAAAACCTTGTGTGAAAAATGCACAAACATACCTCTAAATTTTAAACAAAGACAACACATACAAACACAAAAACACAGATACACACAAATATACAAGTACACACATACAAACACACACACACATACAAATGCAAACCTCTGAAACCGAGATTCTTAGCGACTCCGATGAAAGTGCTTCCCTTTTGTTTGTTGAGGATGGAGACGATGGTGTCGGCTGGGTGACTCACAATGGCACAAAACACACCAGCTATTTTTAGTAGTAAGTATGAGGGAATGAGTGTGAAAATGATAATGATAAAATGGCAGATAATAAAAATGATTATGGTAAAGGAAAGAAATAATCATATAGAAAATTAATTCCAGACCACCACACACACACAGACAAACACAAACATACAAACACACAGAGAAACCGACGAGCACACAAGAACACAAACTCACCAATGTAACCAGCCACGAAAGTCACCATTAGCTGTTCAGCCTTCGTGCAGTCGGACCTCGGCTTGGGAACGACGAACTTGTACAAAGCCTCAACCGTCCTCTCGAAGCAGGCAAACTTCATCATCGTGTACGGGATCTGCCTACCCCACAGTGGTATCAAACCCTTGTACAACCTTGTGGAGATGGAGGAAAAATAAATTACTAATTAGTAACTGTAAAAATTTTAACCTTTGTGAAGAAATACTAATCAGTATTTGGAAACCAATAATGAGTAATCATTATAGTAACCGGTAAAACCATTCAACCATTCCTCCCTTCCTTTATTCATTCACTTAATGTAGTTTTTCAATTGATATAGCAAAATAAAATGTGGAATATGAAGCAATTGCAAAATTACTAACCCCGTAACACCTTCCTCTTTAATGAACTTTGGCAGTCCCTCTCTTAGGGTCACCGCAAACCCGGGCTGAGTTTGAATTCTTACCTGTGTGGGTGTGGGAATGTAAGTATGTGTGTGTATTCGTGTATGCTAAAAGGCATGTTATGGTGGTAGCATGTGATTTTGTAGGTAGATTGAGCATGCATTTGTCAGTGTATACATCGAGTAGTAGATGTAATTGTACTTCTGTGGAAGTGTGTGTAAAGATGTGTGTACAGTACAGGTGTGTGGTGTGTATGTTGACCAGCGTCTCAATCATAACCGTCATCAGCAGTGACCTTGACTGCCTCCATGGGGCAGAGAGCGATGTCGGCAAAAAATTCAGCCGATGCAGATGCTGCTAGGTAGAGGGTGGTCCTCCATAAGAATGCATTTTCCTAATAAAGAAGATAATGATGATTATAAAGATGATTGTGATGACAATGTGGTGATGATTGTGTTGTTTTTAATCAAATGAAAAATTTAATCCTAATCAAAGAGCAAATACAAATCCATCAACCGATCAACTCATCAATCCCAACCAAACAACCAACCTCTCCAACGAGATCAGCATAGATATGCTTGAAGACCTCATACAAGCCAAACTTGAAACAACCCTGCATGGAGTAACCGAAGAAAGTTGGAGCCCATCCTTTCCCTAATTCCCTAACTCCTGATTCCCTCAAAGTCACCTTGAACCCATTGATGATGTTGCCATATTTTGCTCGGTCCACCTGGATAAAAGTAAAAATTTGCAAAATTTTGTTGAAAATTGAAAAAATAATCCGAGCAGATATTTAAAAAATTTAGAATCACATCTGCTGATTAAAAAAATTACAAATGATCAAACATTTATTGCTTATTTATATTAACTGTCCTCTTTTTAACATCAATGACTAGTTTTTTTTACATATTTTTGTTGAAAATTTAAAAGTATAAAAGATGAAAAAAATTTTCTTTCTCCACCTGAATCCTGCACTTGACCAGATCCAATGGCACGATCATGGTGTGGGTGACACCACAACTGACGATACCACCAAGACCACAGAGCGCAAAAAATTTGTTCGAGGCATACTCACAAGAATATTCTTCTGCTGGGGCTGTTTAGTGGATGAATGGAATGAAGGAGAGATGCACAAGATCAAAAAATAGAATGGGATCAAGAAAGGGTGTAGAAATCGGTAGTCAATGACAATCACAAGCAGTGAGCAAAGTAGTGCAAAGAGAAAGATTCAAGTCTACAATTATAAAATTGGCTCACATGATCATGTTGTCTAAAAAACTCTAAACACTAACAGACTTCATTAGTTCCAAAATTAAATTATTTTATTTAAATTAAACAAAAACAATTCGCCAAATGACAAACACGAAAACCCAGCACCAATACAAGTTCACAAAGCGAATGACCTTGAACTCTGAGAAAAACACTGACCTAACCCTTAAAACGTTCATCAACCTAATTAACAAAACTCATCAGAAAAAATTTAAATGGAAAATTTTTAAACCATCTCGAAAAAGATTCGACTAACCGCCGCTGGTGTCTGCCGAAAGGGCGGCCAGCGATCGGAATTGGTTGACTTTCAAACCATCGTCGTTGCGCTGAGAAGAAAATGGAGAAGAAAATGGATTGTTACGAATAATCTCCTGGAGCGTCCGCGACATTTTACCTAAAATTAGGCACAAAATTATATTTTTGATGAGCTTTTGTGTAAAATATCTCAGTGAGAGGAATGATTTTCTGTTATACAAAACCGGCTCTCACCTCTTCTTAAAGTAAGCTGCGTGTGGATGGATTGATATGTCCGGAATGAAGGATGTACGTGTTTCTTCTTTCAAATACATTTTTTTGGTTAAATTACATTTTATGAAATTTAATTTTTTTTTATTAATTTACATGAAAGTAAATTATATTTGTTAATTTTGACATAAAACCTAACTACAGTAATCTGGCCGAACATTTTTTCAAGTTTTTTAAAAACTAAATTTTTTTTTAATTTTTCAAATCTAGTAAATTATTTATACAAAATATATTTATCTATATATATATATATTATATATATGTACAAAACATATAAAACTTTTTTTATATATTAACATAACATTTTTCAATTTCAAATAATTTCTTCCACATCGCTCTTCCATCTCAGTCTTCATTTACACTACCTTGTTCCTGCTTGGCTGTGTGGTGTGTGGTGCTGCCATGGTTCTCACGGCATTTTTTAGATTTTTTTCGTTATTTTTGTTGAAAAATGGACGCTGGGATCAGTTGAAAATGATGAAATCGCAGGGGTCCAGAAAACAGGCGATTTGTGGTCTGTGTCTTATCGTCACGTGCTTTCGTTTGTCGGTGATGAATGAATTCGCGTGGCGAGTCAGGCGATCTGCACTTTCTGATTGACTGATCAGATTCATTAAATTGATTGATTAACTTCAACTGATTGGTTGGTTGATCAATCGATCTTTAAATCGATTGATTGATAGTTGGCTTCAGTGATCAATCATTAATTAATGATTAATCATTGATTAATTAATGTGACGCAAGCCGTCTTTCTTCATTTGTGTCATTTTATTTTGCACCCGAATGTTAGTGTTACAAGTTTGGGAATAAGAAAAGGTAGAAGTTAGATACTGAGAAAAAGCATTGAGTAGGATATGTGGGTCGACTGATATGATCATATACTTGAACACAACTTCCCCAAAAATTTTTTTAAATTCTAAAAAGACCAGTATCTAAAAATAAATTTCAAGTTTATTTGTAACTAGTAGTAACAAGCAAAATTAAAATTTTGTAATATAGCTTCAAATTTGAATAAATAAAATTCAGTCAACACAATTAAATAATCAAATGATTTCCTGAAAAAACAAAATATGGAAACAGAATCGGATATAAATAAAATACTGCTAATTCTAATATGAATAATGACAAAATGAATGTGAAAATAATAATTAAGACTAAAATTCCGTTCTAATTTTTTAATATTATAATCAAAAATGTATACTGTTAATAATATTTGAAATGATAAAACAAAATACGCATTTGGTTGGTTTTTAAATAAAGTCAAAATTAATATTCATAAAAGATTCAATCATTCATTGATTGAAGTTTTTAAAAACTGCAAAAGAAAAATATAAAAAACTGAAATAATTATTTAAAAAAATATTAATCATATACCAAAATTCAAAAATTGACACTATTGCAGTATAGATTATAGTAGTCGTTATGGACTGTACATTTCTGAAAATATAAATCTTTTGAGCAAGTGATTTCAATAAAAGCTGTCACTTTTTCATATATATATAATATATATATATATATAATATAATAAATTTTACTTAAAAGATAATACAATGAATAAAATACATCTGATAACTCCATCCTCCGCATATATATTATTGTAAGTGGCCTCAACAACTGTTCCAAAACTTCATGGTAAAAATGGTATACGTTGAATAAAATCAATATTCGTATAATTAACTTTCCATTTTAAATTTAATTGACTAATTTATTAATATAATTAAAAAATTAACTAATCTATCAATCAGTCGCGGTTAATATCCATCCATATAGATTCATTCATTCAACCAATCGGTTCGTCTTTCATTCGATCGTTTACTCATTAATGTAATCAACAATCAATCTATCACACTATTATCTTCAACGGCGGAAGTTTGTACAATCAATCCAACAAACAATCAATCAACAATCATATTATTTCTTTGGTAGATGATACCTATAACGTTCAATCACAATCAACCTTATAAGCATATGACATTCAATCAACCAACTACAGCATAATTTCTATTTTCTACGATCAATCGTAGTCAAATCAACCATAAATAGCATTACCTATATGATAAGTGATGTAATATTCAATCAAAATATTGTTTTTACGGTGAGTGATACGACATTCAATCATAGTATTATTTATATAGCAGGCGACATAACGTTCAATCTAAAAGTCAACCACCGTACATTCACATTCAATCGATCATATTATGTCTATGATGAACAATATGACATTCAATCGACCATAATATTATTTCTATGGTGGCGATATAACATTCAACCTATCAGTCAACAACAGTATTATTTCTATGGCGAGCGATATAACATTCAATCGACCATAGTATTATTTCTATGGTGGGCGATGTAATAGTCGTGTGAATACATGAGCAGTGCTACGGGCTGACCCAACACGAGCATCAACCAAATTATTATGTTGCCCAATTTACCTGTGAATGGTCATAAATTAATTATAATATTAATTATTTATAAATTATTCTTAATTATTTATGGTATCGTTCGTATTTATTCATAATTATTTATAATATTGACCGCCATCATTCAGTGTTGATTACTGTTAAATATGCGTTGAGATTTTGGCATAATTTACATCAAGTGCTGATTGTCATAAATAAGTTTTAATAATAAATAAGTTTTAATAATAATAATAATAATAATGATTATTATCATTTGAATTGTCAATCTCGTTATTTTTGTATAATAACCTGCAATTAACAATAATCATTCATTAAGAAGTACTACTAGCATCATTTATTTACTTTTTATTATCATTCATACTTTTTTATCAATTATTATTACCATTTATAATTAATTAATTACCGTTTAACTTCGAAGAGAGCAAAACCAATGGGATCTGAATTAGCATGAGTGTGAATGAATTTAATTATATCAACTAATACTAATTGAATATTAAATTATTATAATATGCTAATTTAATAATTAAAATAAGAATATATGCAAATGATCTACAATATACTATTCAACAGTTAATTATTCAAGATTATGTTAATTAGACCTCATGAAAACTAGTAGCTATCATAAAAGTGAATACGCAAATACCAAATTAAACATTCATGAATAAATTTATTAATCTTACCTGCATCATGAATGACGCGAAAAACCAGAATCTAAACATATTCAGTGGTATGCTAAACAGGTACTGTGAATATGATGAATATGCAACTATGTTAACTATCGAATAAATTATACATACTCTCGTATACAGAGCCAGATTAGGCTCTCACCAAGCCTGAGACAAAATAGCAAATCCCTGCTCTCGTTTTTGAAAACGAACGAAAGCGGAGATAAATACATTATTAAATGCAAAAGGGATGGCCAAACTTTTTGCTGTGAGGGCCGCATTGAGATCTATTTTACAATTGAAGGGCCGCATATGTTGTTAAATAGCAAACTTTTTCAACCAGGGGGAGGTTTTTTTAAGATTTGTGGCTCCTTTTTTTATTTTTGGTCATAATGTCTGGCTGAAGACCTTTTTTTGCAAACAAGGCCTGGGCCGTAGTTTGCACACCCCTGGTTTAATGCATCTTGCAGGTGCAGAAACGTACAATCAAATATATACACACTAACAAACATGCAAACCTCGTGAAAGCATGCTGACACTATAAAGACCATTGTGTTGGCAACCGGTTTGCTAACACCTCTACCCAACAATGGTTTGTATATGTGTCTGCATTTTGTATGTACAGTACATTTGGTTTGTATAAGTTTGTATATTTTCGTATGTATTTTATCTATAAACATAAGTATGTCTGTTTTTTCCATACCTTAATAACAAATAAAAAATAAAAAAACTACAAAAAGTGATACAAAAAAGGATGCAAATAATTCAAACATAGAAAATAAATAATTATACAAAAAAACACAAAAAATAATACAACATAAAATACAAATAATTATTTATAATTAATTAATTATAATTAATTTTATAATTAATTATAAAAATAAAAGAGAGTTGATTTACCTGAGAGCGTAGCGGTGGATGGGGATGTTCCACGTTGACCAGAACTGCTGCAGGTTCTCTGAATTCCTGGTGAAAATGAGAGAATGAGTGAAATGTGAGAACGAGTAAAAGTGAAATAACGAGTAAAAGTGAGAGAGAAAGAGAGAAATAATGAGACAAATAATGAAAGAGAGAGAGATGTGTGTGAAAAGATGCGAGAGAGAGGTGAAGAACTAAAAAAATAAAAAGTGAGAAAAAAATGATTGAACTAAATAGTTAATGACTAATTGATTAATTAATCATTCACTTCCTGGATCGACCAAGTAATCAACCAGCTAACTAATTAATCAATAGACAAACATATAAATCAACCAACCGACCAGCCAACCAACAGATCATCCAATCTGACAACCAACCAATCAATTAAACAATCAACAAGCCTAAGAACCAACCAGCCAACGAACCAACTCACTAGTCAACGAACCAACCAACCAATGAACCAATTAACCAATCAGTCAACCAACCAGCCAATCAACCAACCAATCAGTCAACCAACCAACCAGCCAATCAACCAACCAATCAGTCAACCAACCAGACAATCAACCAAACAATCAGTCAACCAACCAGCCAATCAACTAACCACCAGTCCTTATAAAACATTCTGTCACCAAATCTCAGTAGCTCAGCAAGCAGGTTGAACCAGGAATGGAAAATAACGTAAAATGTTATCAACCATATCAGATGGTTGGGTACCTGTGAAAAAATGAATGAATGAATGAGTAAATGTGAATGAATGAACGAATAATATAAACGGATGTAAAAATTAAAACTGATTGATTGATAAATCGAGTGATTGACTGAAATATCGATTGAAAGATTGACCGATTGAATGATTGATTGATCGATTGATTCAATGAACGATTAAAGTTTGAATGAATGATGAATCAAATGATTAACTGAATGATCAAATGGCAAGATTAAGTGATTGGCTGAGTAATTGAATGAATGACTGATCGATTGAATGAATGATTGATCGATTGAATGAATGAGTCATTGAGCGAATGACTTGGCGAACTATTGAATGAATGAATGAACGATCGAATGAATGAATGAATGAATGATTCAAATGAATGAACGAATAAATGAATGAATTAATGAATGAATGAACTAATTAATAAATGAATGAAAGAAACCGACGGCCAATTTGAGAATCCTCTCTACCATCATCGGATAGTTCATGTTCTCGAAAAGTACGATGGAGTTCGATATGATCGGATATATCCACTGAGTAACAATAATAATAATAATATTAATATTAATAATAATAATTAATATTATTATTATTATGGAGACGTATTTTAATTTATTCACTCGTCAAAATGAGACAATCAGATGATAAAAAAAACAAGATACGTCCAAAGAAAAACGAATCATACGGAAAAGTACTTTTAAAGGTCGATCCTCAAAATAATAATAAGAACATCCATTTATTTTCTAACTTTAAATACCAAATATCAATAATGAAATAATTATAATAATAATAATAGTAGTATTAACAATAATAATAATAGTAATAATAATGATGATGGTGATGATGGACCTGCTGGATAAGACTCAGTACAAGACCCCAGAGAAACAACTGTTGAGATGTATTATTATTACTATTGTTATTATTATTATTATTATTATTGCTATCATTATCATCATCATCGCCATTACAATGTTCATCATCACAATCATCATCGCGATCATCATCACCATCGTCGTTAAGAGTCATCATCCTTACAATTATCATCGTCATCTTCTTCATCACGATCATCATCATCATAATTGCAATCGTCATCACAATCATCATCATAATCAGTATCATGACCGTCTCAAGAGCCCTATTGATGAGAAACCAGTGCCTTATTCTCGTAGTCCTAGGATAGTTCAACTCGTAACAAACTGTCGGAACTAGAAGGAAGTACACCAGATCTGATGACGATGATGACGTCATGTGGTGATATAATGACGATGTTGTTGGTTTGTATGTATGTGGTGGTGATGTGGCAATGATCCACATCCATTCACATTATATCCCATTATTGTAAGAACATGTGAAACAAAATATAAAAAAAATAATTTTTTGTGTAACCGACAGCTGAGCTGAGAACAAAAATGGATAGATGAAATTCGTTTAAAACTGTGCAGTTCGGCTTGGTGTAAGCACACACACACACACACACACACACACACACACACACACACACACACACACACACACACACACACTCATCGCACACGCTCACAAATTTCAGAAAAATCAGATGAATAAGCGCAGGCCGGCTTATTGTCTAGGGATAAAAACCGGATCATAAAAACCGGATGGAGTGTAGTGGCGAGTTGTTTAAAGTCATTTAATCAATGTTAATGTGATCTATGAACTTTGAGCTGACAGTTCTCGGAAGCAGGTGACCATAATGACAAAGCGAGACAGGATAGGACATCTCTATCGTCTGAGCTAACTCTTTCTTTCAAATTATTTTTTTGAAAAAGCACAATGAACAAGAAGCAGAAACTGCTGTTGAAACATGCAAGGCAGTAGTCTAAAATGACAACGGAAAATAGATGACGGAGCAAGGACTCGACAACAAACTCATTAGTACCCACAGCCCAAAGAACCCGAGGAACAAAAAAATACTTTTGTTATTGCACAGGGTATTAAATCCGGTTGTGTCCGAGTGCGTCCCGCGTGATTAGTCAGTGTAGCAGAGGTTTCTAAAAACTTCAAGACAACCGCAACCAAATTTTTTTAAATCATCAAATAAAATACGACCCTGATTAACAATGAGGCAAAAAATTTTGGGTTAGAGTTATGAATTTGACATATGCCACTAGCGATCGGGACGCATCTCCGGTTTTGCCATGCATGAAATTGCACCATACAAAAGAACCTTTAACGTTCAAGTTATCTGGGTAATCCTGGAGTTGTGTGACGACCATGAGGTTGCTGTAGTTGCTGTCGTAGTCGTCGTTCACTTGCTTCATCTCGTGCAATTTGGCGTTCAGGTCTGCATCGTTGTTGTTGTTGTTGTTGTTGATGTTATTGATGATGCTGTTGTTGATGTTGTTGTTGTTAAATTTGTTGTCATCGTCATCATCATCATCATCACTACCATCGTCATCATCGTCATCATCATTTCATCATCATCATCTCACCGGCTCTTATGCTCAATGACCTCAATCTTGGACTCTTGTGATTGGCCGGTTTGTCGGCCAATAGACAGCTGGCCTTACAATTTTGGTTCTCTTTCTATTGGTTGGTTGAAATTTTCGTTGATAAAAAACCAAACGTAGACAACGAACAAAGAATAATAATAACAATAATTATTATTATTAATTTATTATTAATATTATTATTAGTATCATTATAATTTATTAGCCATCCTCACCAACCTTACCAACGCTATAACACATAAGCAACATAATCATCATTCTATTCATCTGAACCACAGCCAAATAAATCATCATAATCATTGTCGTCATCGTCATCATCGTCGCCATAATCATCATCATCATCGTCGTTATAATAATCGCTATCATCATCATCATCATCGTCGTCATCATTATCATCACCGTCATCATCATCATCATCATCCCCGTTATCATCATCATCATCACCTTGGTAACTTTCACCTTCAGCTGATGTTTGCGGCACCATTTGTTGGTCTGGGCGTAGGAGGACATCTTAAGGAAGACGATGATGCAGACGGCCAACAGTGGTGATGAAATAACTGATGATGATGATGATGTGGTGGTGGCGGTGGTGGTGATGACGACGATGGTGGTGATGATGATAATGTTGATGATGATGATAAAATAGCTGATGGTGATGATGGTGATGATGATGGCGTGATGAAATAGCTGATGATGAGTGGTGATGATGATGGCGTGATGAAATAGCTGATGATGAGTGGTGATGATGATGGTGATGATGATGATGGTGATGATGATGGCGTGATGAAATAGCTGATGATGAGTGGTGATGATGATGGTGATGATGAAATAACTGATAATGATGATGATGGCGATGATGACGATGATTAGGATTTAGGCCAAAATCATGATGAAGACGATAATGATAATGGTGCTGATGACGATTTATTTATAAAAATATCAACAATAACAATAATAACAACAACAATAATAATAAAAACAACAATAACAATAATAAAGAACAATAATAATAATATAAGAATCGCTAACATGGATGTGGGTGAACGTTCAAGACGATGACAGCCGGAAAGACGATGATGAAACCGAGGGTGAGGGCGTGGAGAAAGGTGACGAAGCCCTCGGAGAGATAGTTCTGCAGTGGTGAGGATAGGTAAATATGAGATGATGATACGATACAATACATTACAATACAATACAATACAATACAATACAATATAATACAATATAATACAATACAACACAACACAACACAACACAATACAATACAATGCAATACAATACAATGCAATACAATACAATATAATACAATACAATACAATATTTTTTCATTTTCCTCCTCAATATGATACAACGTGACGATGATGATGATGTCATTTGATAGTGGTGTTGAATGAAGATGACGTCATTATATGGTGATGTCGTTTGTGGGTGATTTCATTTGATGGTGATTATGTGATGAGATAGTTCTGCATCAAGGTGTAGGTAGATAAATAGCAGAGAAAAAGTTTTGGTGAGATAGTGAGCGAATAAATGAAGATAATAGTGATGAAATGAACGAATGAACAGGTGCATGAATGAATGATTGTCTGATTGAATGAATGAGTGAAGTGCATAAATGAATGAATGAGTACATGAATGAATGAGTGAATAAGTGCTAGAATAAGTAAATGAACAAGTGATGGATGAATGAATGTATGGAAAAAATGTATGAATGAATGAACGAATGAATGAATGAACGAACGAATGAGTACACAAATGAACGATGATGTCGACAAATGAATGAATAAATAAATATGGTGATAGTTGGATCTGAAGAGGTGAGTGTGAGGAGAGAGAAAGAGAGAGAGAAAGAAGAGAAAGAGAAAGAGAGAGAGAGAGAGAGAGAAAGAAAGAGAAAGAGAGAGAGAGAGAAAGAAAAAAGAGAAAGAAAGAGAGAGAAAAAAAGAAAGAGATGAACAAATGAGATAACAAATAAAAGAATGAAAAAAATGAACAGAAAGTGAATGAACGAAACCAAATATTATTTAACATGAATACATAAACACACAATAAAAAAAAACCTTAGAGGCTAATTTCTCAATGAGGAAGGTGACGGCAATTGATGCTAGTAACGCTGTGATGATGACGTCATGTGATGATGAGGAGGTCATGCGATGATGATGACGTAAAGTCATTATGTTGAGTCATGTGATGATGATGATGACATCATGTGATGATGATGAGTCATGTGATGATGATGACATCATGTGATGATGATGACATCATGTGATGATGAAGAGGTCACGTGATGATGAGGAGGTCACGTGATGATGAGGAGGTCACGTGATGATGAGGAGGTCATGTGATGACGACCACATGCGATGATGACGGAGAGATAAATACAACAACCTCGCACCGCCATCATCATTACCATCAACATCATCGTCATACCATCACCACTACCATCATCATTCTGATTCACAACTGACCAATCAAAATCCAGATTATTGGGAAGTTTGATGGGGAGCGAATAAAAATTAAGTACCAGTTAACCGGGTCGATCAAAATCCCGTACCTGCGATGTGATTGGTCAGCGAGAGTAACACATGGTAATGATGATGGTAATGATAAAGAAATAATGATGATGGTAATGATAAAGATGGTGATGGTAATGATATTGATGATGATTTGATGGCACTAATAATTAGGATAACTTATTGCGATGAAGAGAGTGATCACGATGATGATGAGGATGAAGATCACTCACTTCAGCACATTCTCTAAAGCTGCCCTTCCCATGGTGAAAACCTTTTTTCGAATTTTTTAAATAGTGAAATAAATAAAAATCAAAATATTTCAATAAATCAAATTTTGTTTAAAAGATAAATAAATAAATAACGGAGAGTGATAGCGTTATCGTCTAAATGTGCCTGGTTCTACTGCTACTGAGTGACCATGTTCGAATGCAAAATGATCCCAATTCATCTTTATGAGGACTGGCACGGATCCAAGGAGTCGCGAAAATGTTCCGGCATTCCCGCCAGTAGGATTGCAAATAAGAGCGAACGAAAAAATATCCAAAACAAGAGACAGGCATGAATCAATCCATGCACAGCACACACATACACAGTGGGACGTTATCAGTAATTTTCAAAATAATTCTCATTCCACGATTTAGTGCCTAGTAAGAACGATGAACATGAAGGACAACGAGGCACATGGTCAAACCATCCATTTAAAACCTTCGAAACATTTTGCTTCAAATTGTAATTATATATTGTAGAACGACCCGACCTGCTGTTGAATTCTGCAGGCAGTGGAAACCAGAAGCATCTGCCTCTGTCGGGCGTGTTCGCTTGGGAGTGTGCTCCGATTTGGAGCATGCCCAAACTGAAGCCACGCCAAAGTGTCATGTAATTAAAAAATTGAGATGTGATGTGATTTGATTCAACAGCAGTTTTACCATAGGTTTTTTTCTCAATTAAAAAACAGATTAGCTCGTGATTCAATAAACAGTTGATTCAATTGTGATTAGATTCAACAGTAGCTACACGTAATTCAAAACAGTTTACAAAATTTTACAAATACTCAACTGAAGGAATTTTTATCCTAAATTTTTTCAATAATCGTGAATCCGGTTTTTACGGAATCTCAAACGTTGGGTTTCGACAAATCCGAATCTTAACGGATCCAACATGACCTTTGAACTTTTAAATTTCAGCACACATCCAGATGAGCGTAATTTATTTTTAATAAAACAATAATGTAATTATAGTTAGTTAAAAGACACACATACGTAAATAAAAATACCAAAATCTACATGAAAATACAGATATATTTGATAAAATATACAAACATACACACACAGGACAATACATACCTACAATATACACATACTTACCCATATATTCATTCATACATGCACAAACAAACATAAACAAACAAACACACACACCCACAAACTACAAACATAGAATAAACATACCAGCATGACACCACACCAATTAAGTAGGCCTCTGAAATTTTGAAAGCCACTAGATGTACTCAACAATGACTCTCTAACTCTGTGGCATCTGGTCAGTGGGCAATGAGTTCTAAATTACTCTTTTGTACGGTTTTGTATGATTTCCAACTTTTTGTTTTTATTCTATGTTATTTAACTTTCTTATTACATTCTATTTGTGTTAAAGTTTGTATTTTGTGCTTTTTAGTCCGTGTAGAAATAATTATTCCATTTTATTATTAAGCTTTAAAATTCAATTTATTGAAAATATTTTCAATTTAAAAAATGTAATAATGTTGCACTTGAAAAAAAAAATTTCATGTTAAAACTAACTTCATAGCACCAATACTTAAATTCATGTCTTATTTCATTTAATATAGTTTGAGTGACTTATCATTCATTCATTCATTCATTCACTTACTCATTCATTCATTCATTCATTCGTTTGTTCGTTAGTTCATTCATTCATTCATTCATTCACTCACTCACTCATTCATTCGCTCATTTATTCATTCATTTTCTCATTCACTCACTCATTCAATGTCACTACAGAACATGGGGTTCATTGACTGAAGGAAAGAAAGTTTAATGACATTATTAACTGGCAATGACAAGTTACTAAAAATAGAACAACAAACCAAAAACTAAATATAATGCTAATTCTTTATAAAAATTATAACATCAATTACAAATATCAATTATCAAATAATTTAAAAATTTATATTCAATTATTTATTACATAAATTAAATACTATGTATTATATGTGAAATAAATTATATTATATATTTTTTTATATAGGTATTAAATAAATTTTCATTTAGTTAGAAAATTAGTAAAAATTAACTAAACTTTTTTAATGTTATAATCTAATATTCTAATCTAATGTTTAAAATTAATCTTTAGTAGAGATTTACATTTATTTATTTTATTTATTAATTTTTAAATATATAGTTAGAAAATTAGCAAAAAAATAACTAAACGGAAGATCTGGCCGATCGTAGTTGTACTCAATCCTCCTGGTCTCCTCGTCGTACACACTCGACGAATAACTGTTCGTCCGTTTCCGGGGCCTCAGTCTTCTCTGGGCAGTAGGAGTTGCTTCATTTTGATTAGGGTTGACGGCCATCGCTGTTGCTGCATCCGCATCGTCGTCTCCTACCGCACCAACATCGTCATTTTTGACCGAATTGTCCTGCATCACTTTTTTTTGTTGGTTAGTTATTTTTTCACGATTAGGAAATTAGGAAATGAAGAAATACAAATAAGGACTAAAGTACAGTAGTATGCGGTCTGAATCCGAAACAACTTTGCTAGTTCACTTTTAAACATTCAAAGTTTGAATTTAAAAAGTGATGGGCTAAAATTCAAATTTGGTTGTACCTTTAAAATTTAAATGGCTGATTAAAAAGGCGTTGAGATCTAGAATGCGGAACATGATATAGAAGTAGATTAGTTTTGTTTTTAAATTAATACAATAGAAAAGAAAAAAAACAGTTAATCGATTTTTTGAAGTTTTTTATAGTTTGTAGAATCAGTATAAGTTAGTATCTCTTTTAGGGGCTATTAATAAAGTGAAATAAAATAAAAATTTAACAAAGCAGCGAACAAGATAACGTCGTTACTACAGAAACTAAGAAAACGGCGACAGGCAGAAAAGTCTTCAACAACTGTCAGAAATTCAAAGTATTCAACTTTCGAGGTCTCCAATGCATTCCTGGCCTGACAACCATAGGTACCGATCCATCTATCGGCTTTGATGTTCCTTTTTTTGAAGGTGAACTCGTAGTAGAGTTGCCTATCTCAACCTCGTGCATTAAATAATTGCTGAGCTGATAATATTCGATCGGTTCTAAGTCCAGCTCTTTGGTAGCCTCAGTCGTCGTGACCTTATTAAGGTCAACCTTAGAAAACGATTCCTTAAAAGCGATATCTTTGCTTTGACCGTCAATAATCTTTCTGATATCTGGATTGGTTGTTTCGAATCTAACTCGGTCTAAAATCGGCCTGAGGTCGATTTTAACCGCTATTTAGCAGTTGGTTACTGAGATTAGTTCCAGTCTTTTAAAATCTATAAACATTGATGCATTTATTATGAGCTCCTTCATGGATTCGAAGCGTAAATGACGAACCGACTCCTGAATGCTACGAGTTCTTGAGAGGACTGGAAAGTTCTTGCCGTTGAAACCGATGAACTTGAGGGTTTTCAAATTTTTAAAATTATCTAACAGCCTATGCCATTGTGGGTCACAGTGCAACTCCAGTTCGGTCACCTTGTCGCATCCCTGTTTTAAAAAAATGTCAGTTACACTCTTCCAAAGATTTGAGGATTCAACAAGCACGACGAATCACACACGAAGCATGTGACTTTTTGTCATATTCGAACTCGGTCACAGCGAAACGGCTGCAGGCCACCATAACCACTGGGCCATCGTGCCACGCGAAATAAATTTTTGAGTTAAGGAGAAAATGTTAATTGATCAATCGAAATCATTCAACAAGCAGGTGATCAACTTTGAAACATTTTTAAACCAAAATTACAAATGCTCTCACTCGTTCGTGATTGTACAATTTAAATACAAAATGAATTACCTCAAAAACCGTGCGATGATAATTTGTAGCGACATCTCTGATGACAATTTTTTCCAGGGTATCGGTAACCGGTGCCAGGAATTCATTTCCAGCCCTTAGAACGCTATCAATGGCAGAGGAGTTGGACACATCCAGCACTCTAATGCCAGCAACATCTCCCAATAAGTGAACGGATACGTTGTGCTTTACACTCACGTTGTTTAAAATCAGACTATCCACTATGAGGTCGTCAAACAACTTTGGTGGAATATCAGCAACAGAAACATTTCTGAAATCTAAGACATCCACGTCGGTCCTGTTGATCAACTCCGGCAGAGTTTTTGACAAGACTTCGAATTTGCAGTTTTCGAATCGGCAGACTTTCGTGCTGCCGTTGCCAGGACAGCTGACATCGTCCGTAGCACCGGCGTTGACCATTTGAAAGGTGAGGAAAAAAATCATAAGCAGAACTTTTAAAATGTCCATGTCTAATTTTTCTACGTAAATAATGGAAGTAATATATATCTTTATCATAAATCATATGCGTGTGTTTCATTGTGTGGTTTGTGTGTGTGTGTGCGTGGTGTGCATATGTTTGTGTGGTTTGTATGTGTGTGTGGTGTGCGTGTGTGTGTGTGTGGTTTGTGTGTGTGTTGGAAACTTTTTTGAATTCAAAATGCAATTTCCGCATGCAGAATTTAATAAACTTAATATAATAAGAATAACAAAGTCAATTTAATTGATGCAGGGGCTGAAAATAAATAAACGAATGAATAAATAAACGAGTGAATGAACGAATGAATGAAAGAATGAATGAACGAATGAAAGAACTAACTAATTAATTAATTAATACAATAATTATAGCAGGTCAGAAATAAATTAACCCAAAAATAATCACTTTTTATGATACAATACAATATCCGAAAGCCTATAGAAAAAATACTTTATAAAAAAAGATACAGCTTATAATAAAAACGGCGCCAAAGACTGGCGATGACAGTGAAGACATTTTCATCAACTTTTAAAATTTTCAAAATAATTTTATTATCATTATTGTTATTTATTAGTAATACATTTTCATTATCGTTATAAAATATTATTATTTTTATTAGATTTTCGTCATTAGATGCAAAATATTACTAATAAAAACCGTAATAGCAGTAGTAGTAGCAGCTGCTGCAGTAGTGATAGTAATAGAAGCAGTAGTAGTAGTAGTAGAAGCAGCAGCAGCAGTAGTAGTAGTAAAAGTAGCAGCATGCAAAACTTACTTTGAAATTTTCATTGAAAGTTTTCAGTCTAAATTGTTACGAATTTATACAGAGATTCCCTTCATTTGACCCTTGAACTTGGCTAATTTTTTCATCGTGAGAGGACTTCAGCCGTAATGTACCCTCTCTTGCCTACGACTATCACTATATGTAGTATAGTGATAGTCGTATAATATTAAACTAATATTAATCTAATTACATACTGTTAAACAAGTTAAGTTTACCTAAATACTACTAACATTGCCTCGTGTTTAGGAACAATGTTTTAAAAATAAAAATAACGTCATCGCCATGAAAGAATAAACAATGAATTGATTGTTACTGGTGCTGTTATGATGCTGTGATTTTGCATTGAAATGATTGAGCATCAAACAACCATAATATAATTAATTCTATGTGATAATAGTTTATCGAATTGTAGAAAAAAAATGCAAGATAAATGAGGTTGATATATTTACGGGAAACTGAATTCGCCGAACCATAATATTATAATAAAATTATTTTATATACACACACGCGCACGCACACACACACACAAACACCAACACACATCGATTGATTTGTAAATATAATATACACGCACGCACACGCACACACACATACCGATTGATTTATAATTGATTAATCAAACAATTTAAATCATGCAGTGAATAGATGGAAATAAACAACAAAAGTTATCAATAATGATAAAAATGTACAAATATATATAATAATAATAATACTATTATTATTATTATTATTATCAACGGCATAATCATCTTCGTATTTATGATATGTCAATTTTATGTTAAAATAAGTTATGATAAGACAGAAAAGATTAAGACTCATAATAATAATAATATAATAAATAAAAATGGAAAAAATAATAATTATAACAATAATGATAACGATGATAACTGATATTGTACGTAGGTGCTTATAAAGGCATGTACGGTGTAATGAATTCTTTCAAAAATATTCTTTCTTCACCAATTATCATCATCACCTTCATCCTCACTATAATTATCATCATCATTAATATCGTCATCATCATCATCCTTAACATCACTATTATCATCATGTACATCACCAATTGTATTATCACCATCGCCAATATAACCAACTTCATCATCGTTATGTTTCGAACACTCTAACAAGTTTTTATTCAAATTTTCATCATCACCATGATGCTAAGTAACCAGAGATGAGCCGAATAGTAAATTCGGTTGAAGGCCGAAAAATTGACGCACATATCGGCCCGAACCGAATGTCTAAAACCAAAATGGAAAAAAAAGTATCTTTTATAATGAAAAACAAGCTGTGTGAAAGAAAGAGTATAGGCGGTTCGATTTTTTCCAACAATACTTTTTCGAGATGACATTCAACCTCCCGTCCATATCCTGATGTTTCAACAGCTCCGATGGCCGAAATAAATTTCCAGCTAAGAATAATCAGAAATTTTGTCGCAACCACAAAAAGTGATGTTTTAAAGGGGAATTGTAATTCTCGGCTATTCGGCCTTTTAAATAGCCGAAGTCGGGTGTCAAATTTCGGTCAAATATTCGGTGCGTCTCTAGTTATAACAATATCGTCACCATCGTCGTCGTCGTCATTCCCATCATCATCCTCATCATCATCACCATTGTAGTGGAATGTTGTAATTATCATAATATGATTGGCAAATCCGTTCACCATCCCTATCATCATCGTCACAATCATCATCATCATCACCACTATCATTACCATTATCATCATCATTATCTTCCAAATCATCATAGTTAATTTCATCATCGTCATCATTCACCATCATCGTACAGCATGATATTACATTGATATAACATATTTTAAAAATACACGCCAACATGTAATGTGATGATGTGTGTGTGTGTGTGTGTGTGTGTGTGTGAACGTATGAATATCTTATAGGAAACTTCTAATCTGGAAGATGACTTCTAATCTGGAAGATGAAAAATAAATTGTCTGATTGATTAATATCCATCGTTATGTGACAGGACAGAACACACACACACAGACATACACACGCGTACACACGCGTACACGCACACTCATCCAAAAACGGCCCCGCAGTTGTTGCATCTTCTCTCTCTGAACAGCAGACAGAAAAGTAGTCCCATCGGGAAGAAGACAATGGCGCAGCACACACCCAGACAGGTGAAATCGTCCTGAAGCACTCCGATCTGGATCAGGAAAATGGGAATTGTGGGCTAATTCGAGGTACTGATTGAAAAGTTAGGATTTTAAGGGTGGATTGGTTGAACAAAACTAAAGATCTTGAATGAATGAATGAATGAGTGAATGAATGTTTGATAGATTTAAAGAATGATTGATTGATTGATTGATTGATTGATTGATTGATTGATTGATTGGTAAGCAGGAAAGCAGGGGCTGGTTGGCTAAATTGGGAAATAAGGAATTGAACTAGGGGCTAATTAGAGATACTGACTGATAAGTTAGAAGGTTAGAGAATGATTGGTTGAATGAAATTAAGGATAATGAATGAATGAATGAATGATATGATTGATTGAAATGATTGATTGAATGAATAAATGCGTGAATAAATGAAGAAATCAGCGATGTGGGTGAAAACAATGAATGAACAAGAATAATAACATCAACTATAAAAATTATAAAAGTCTGTCAGACTAAATAATTAATTGAAATTAATATTATTTTAAAATTAATCAAACAATCAACTGAATTCGAAAAAAAACAAACCCTACAAACTGGACACCCCCCGACAATGATAATGGACTGGTCAGCTGGTACGATGGGGGCCGTCACGAGGACTCGCTGCTGCTGCTGGTGGAAGGGTGGCACAGGTTGGCTAGTGTATACAGTCGTTTGCTGGTCTGAAGGAGTGAGTGAATGAAAGAGTGAATGAAAGAGTGAATTAATGGAATAGTAAATGAATGAGTGAATAAATTAATGGATAAATGAATAATTTAATTAATGGATATGTGAATTAATGGATAAGGGCAAAAAAAATGAAACAATACACAAGAAGAAGATAAGTACACATGTATATTCATATTGTATCTACACAAAGTACACACATGCATACACAAATATACAAACTTGTAGTGGTGGTAGTAGAACTATAATTTGGGTAGTTATATTTAAATCCTGTGGTGGGCATTCGATAGCCTGGAGCAGCAGAAGTCGAGGAGGACTGTCCAGATTGATACGAGTAGGGTGTCGGTCCTGAATAGGGGGGAAGTGGGGGTTCGTGGCTTGGGGGGGCAGTTGGTGTGTAAGCTGGTGGGGGTCCAGTAGGGATGGTGTTGTTTGCTGCTGGCTGCATCGCTTGGTAAAATTTGTACTTACTTAGGCTATTGAAGTTTATGACGATATTGAAATAATTTAATTTTGTAGTGAAACTGTAAAATGATCACTTATGTAAGATATAAATATATTATTTATTTATGTGATATTCAATTTAATTTAATTAATGTAAGCCTTTTTTATATTTTATAATATAATATAAATTTTATGTTATAACACTTTTGGTTTTTAGATTTTACAAATTTTCTGGTTTCAATTTGGGAGTTTGTTGTTGCTGGCAATCAATAATAAACATGTGAAGTGAACAAGCTCTGAAATGTAAAAAAATTATAAATTAAAATTAAATTGATAAAATAAATATGAAAGATATTTTTTTATTATTAAATTTTATTAAATTAATAATAATCATAAAATTTCATTTTAATTCAATGTTTTATTTTTAAAATTTAATTAAATTAATACTGTCTGTCAACTAGCAAATCAATCAAACATATGAAATGATCAAAATTCAATTAATAATTAATGAAATTTCATTAACTATTAAAATAAATAAATTATTTAATTTTAATTTAAAATCATTCAATAAACAATTAAAAAACATATAAAATTTAATTTTAAATAAGCATATAAAAATTAATAAAGTTAGTTAAAGCTTTTTAATAAATTAATTTAAGTTAAACTGTTAAATTGTTAATAATTAAAAAAATTAAAAATAAAACATATTATTAAAAATAGTAAACACTAAAATTATAAAATCTATAATTTTTCTAAATTTAAAATTTAAATTTATATAAAAATATTAAATAAAAGTTAAAACCACCAAATCAACGAAAAATGAAATAAGAACGTGAAAACATGCGAAATAATACAACAAATATATAAATACTTAATTAATTATTAATGATTATTTAAAATTAATGATTATTTAAAATTAAACTTTAAAATAAATAAAAATTGAAATACCTTTACAATTTACACACAGAGTTAGGTAAATAAACAACCAAAGACCATCACACCATTATGAATTGGAAAATTAATATAATTATAATATTCATATGACATATATATATATATATTATATATATAATATTATATTATTCATATGACCTATATATGTATATATTATATATAATATTATATATAAAGATATATCAATCTATCTATATCATATTATTCATATGACTAGCATACATACATAATTATATATCTATATATTATATTATTTATATGACTAGCATTTATATATAATTATATATATATATTATTTATTTATAATATTAATAATATATTGATATGAATGTACCATGAACATGTTCATTTATAGGAACAGATTTCATGGGTCCAAAGATTAAGATAATTGACACTCGTCATGAAATTATAAATATACGTTTGTAATGTGTGTGTGTGCGCGAGTGTGTGTGTGTGTGTAAAACACACAAACGAGGTAAACGAGGTAACACAAACGAACGGACGTCTTATCTAATAATAATAACACTACTTTTTAAATTGATTTTGTTTCATGTATTTTTTATTTATTAACGTTCTTCTTCGAAAGTTGCTAGCGACATCCTCCCAAGTTTTCAACATTGAATTTGTTGAATACCACCACATTGTTACTGCTACAAAGTGTTGAAGATCGGGTTTTGTGGAGGTTGAGTTTTCAACATTGAATTTGTTGAATACCACCACATTGTTACTGCTACAAAGTGTTGAAGATCGGGTTTTGTGGAGGTTGATGGTCACCAATTTCCTGAAAGGATGAGGCACGAGAAGATGAAGAAGAACGCTCAAAAGAACCGACATCTCCCCATGCTCCTATAACATTACCACTTGCATCAACCGTGTTATGCCAGAGTTTAAGCTCTAGAACACCCAGTAGAATGTGTTCAGTAGAATGTGTCTCCTATCTAGTATATTTACAATATACTAGATAGGAGAATGAATAACCTTTTAACGATTCAGAATTAAGAATATGTATCCATTATCCAACGAAATTAAGTCAAACAACTTTGCGTTGAAAAAGCAGGATATGCAAAACCAAAAGAAGTTTTGGACCAACCTTTTATAGATACTGACACTGACCCATTTTGTCTATATAAACTTCACCAAAACCGTAAATAGAATCGCCGTCGCACATCTACGCTGTCGACGTTTTGGTCAATGTCCAGTGTGACGAAAACGTTGACAATGTAGATGTGTGACGACCATTCAACTTACGTTCTCGTCTTCTTTTTCTTCTCGTGCCTCATCCTTTCAGGACATTGGCGACCATCGACCTCCACAAAACCCGATCTTCAACACTTTGCAGTAGTTGAAATGTGGTGATATTCAACAAATGACAAGGACTTCGATCTCTTCTCCCTGCAATCTCTCCAGTGGTTGCTAGATCTTCCATTTCTTCCTTCCGCATGATGTGATCTTTATAAAATTGGTTGAAATATTTCTTGCTGGTGGTATGAGCCTCGAAGATGAAGAAAACTCGCGAACGACCCTGCAGTGGCGTAGCTGGGAGGATGGATATACATGTAGGGTACCGCAAGCAACTACTGCATCATGCGCCGGGGGTCGTTCGCCGAAGATGCCAAAATATTTTTAAAAACATTTTACTAATATTATTCTTTTTCTTAAAAGTTTCATTGCTAAAAAACGCACTGTTGAACAAACTCAAAGATGCCGAAGAATGGACGGAGGACTGGAATCGGTGTAGCACCAACCTACTACAAATAAACTTTGTAGTATTTTGTGTTAAAACTTATGACATTAATAAATTAATCATAGAATAAATAAATAAACGAAATAAATTTTTAACTATATTCATTCATTATTAATTAATATTAATTAATATTATTATGAACGAAATTAATCAAACAACATCATAGTGATTTATTTTCAATATTTTTCATAAATAATTATTTCAACGCTGTGACACACCCAACCAACACACACACTAAAACCATTAATAATAATAATATTTATTATTACAAATATACAAATAATTTCAATTATAATAATTATTATTACTAATAATAAAACCATATAATATCGTTCATAATTATTATCAGCATAATTGTGATCAAACGTGTAAAATTGTAATTATAACTTCTAGCAACACCAGCGCAACCTGCTTTACAACAGAACAACATTACTGTAATAAAAACAAACAGTTAGTTATTATATACACACACACACACACACACACACACACACACACACACACA